CAGTTCTAATAAGCCAGTGGTTCTTAAACTGAGGCATGAACAAAATCCCCTGGCACTTACTAAAAAATACAGAGGTTCATGCTAATTGAAGTAGGATGGGGCGTCAGCCCTGAATGGTCATCAATTTCTCCAGCTGATTCTGATATGACCAAAAATGCAGAATCTCTGTGCTATGGAACTGCTCACAGGTGAAGTCCATTCCCCTTAATCTAGCTAAGGCAGCCACTGGCAAAGAAGAAACCTACTAGACTAGTATTGTATTCAGATATACATTTGCTTATTCCCAGTTCTGCCAGTTATTTTTTCTATGACTTGGGCAAGGGCTCCCTCTGATTTTCTGACCTCAGTTTTCCCACCTGTAAAATAGGCACTGGGATATACTGGAGAACCTCACCACACCCGGCCTGAAGCAAAGCACTTGCTGAAGGCTGGTGGAAACGGCAGCTTTTTTGGTTTATTTTTGAGGGCTCTGCCTTGGTTCTACCCCACAACCAGGGAAGTGATTTCAGCAAAGAGGCCCAGCCATCCCACCTGGCATGCATGGCTTGCCTTCTGCTGGATCAGAGCCTCACCCCCTGTCAAAACAGCAACCGTAATAGAGTGATCTCCGTAACACAGTTTGCCAGTCTGACTGAGGGCAGCACAATAGAGTGAAAGGAAGGACGCTGGGTGTCCACCAAGATCATCAGCTCTTTGATTACAATGAGAAGTTAGGGCAGATAAGCGGATCATTTCCTAGAACTGTTCTGCCTTTGCACTGGGCAAGATATCTCCCTTTGTGCGCCCACCCTTCATTTTTGAGGCTTCCTCATTCTTGTCCTCCAACACCACCATGCCGCACCCCTGCCCACAACCCTCCAATGGCTGCTCACTGCCCTTGACATAAAATCAGGACTCCTCACAGGGATTCTACAAGAGAGGGTTTCAAACCTGGCTGTGTGATAGAGTCCCCTGCATGCTGGGCAATGTCTCAGGGGGCATTTCTGGTTGTCACAACTTGGTGCCTGGTGCTACTGGAATCTAGTGGGTAGAGGCCAGGGATACTGCCGAACGTCCTACAGGGCATGGGACAGCCCTCACCACAAAGGCTTTTCTGACCCCAAAGATCAATAGTGCTGAAGATGAGAGACTCTGCTCTGGGGCAGGGCCAGGCACTGTTAACTATATTAAAAGCTCCCCTTCCTCCACCAAGCTTGAGAAACCCTGCCTTCTCCAAGTCTTGCTCCTGACAGCTTCTCTACCCTCACTTTCTCCCCTTTGCCCTTGCCTGCCACCATCACAGTCTTTTTTCCAGAATCTGCATTTTTACAACTTTCCTCTCCTATGACTGGTGCAGGAAGGTCCAGGTACACCATCTTTGAGACGCGCTGCTCAAGACCTGTTCCCAGCTGCTTCTCAAACACAGCTCATTATCAGACAAGCAAAGAATACTGTCAGAGTTGGAAGGACACCGCAACAAACATCTGCTTCCACCTGCTCATTTTACAGAAGGAGAAACTGAGGCTTATGAAACCCCAGGTAGCAAGGTAGAAGGGTGAGAGACAGTTTCACTCAACTCTATTGGCCTTCAAATTTCACTTGGAGTTTTTAACATGAGTGATTGTGCAGACGGTTGACAGCTTTGCAATAATCCCATAATGACTCAATCGTGAAACAATCTAGCAATCCTGCTGCTATTAGCATTTGTGGCTACAGCAATTGGGTAACTAGTTGGTTATTACGCATTCCCTAAGAGCCACACATATTGCATTGCAAGGAAGCTAATCTTAGAAATACTTGTTAACTTCGATGATAATTACTAAGTAATTGGCTAGAACGCGCCATTGTGAATTGATCCAGAATATACCAGGTAATTATCTGGTCTTATGTTCCCTGTAAAACAAATCTAGGGTCCAAAAATGGTTCCAGTTGGTTGGCTATCATCCAACCATCAACCTCTGCCAGCCAATCGTGCAAATGCAAGTGATTAATCAAATTACTCAAATATTTAGTTTCAAACTGAACGTGCAGATAAGAAACCTGGAGAGCCAACAAGTGGACAGTGCTGAATGACAGAGAGGGATGCACAGGGTCCCTCCCTAAGATAAATATATAACAACACAATAATATGGAATCAATGCCACTTCTTTGGGGCTCATCTGGCATCCTCACACAAAATACCAAAACACTTCAGAGACCAATTACACGTCCCAAAGCTGCAGAGTCTTTATCATGGTGCCAGGAAAAGGCTGGGCTATTTGTGAAATCTGTAGGCAGTTATGGTGCTTGGGGAGGGGGCTCAGAATTTTGTACACAATAGAAGAGGGCCACAAATGCAGCTGGCTTGCAGGATGAGCAACACATTTTCATAATGACCACTCGTTTTTCAAGGATGGCTGCTGAGTTTGTCTGTTTCCAACTTGCTAGCCTTTGAGAAGGGGGTGAGGGAGGCATGGGTGTTAGGCTCCATAGATAATGCTGAAGAGGGAGGCAGGCGGGTGGTGAGGAGCTGACCAGAGAAAAAGATGGGGTAAGAGCTTAAGATGGGAGCAATGGGGAGAAGGCCAGGGGTGGGGAGAAGACCACCTTCCAACCAGACTTGTGTATCCCAAGTAATAGGCTATTGACTGCTGCTAAAAGACGATGATATATACTGGGTAAGAAAGGGAAGGAAAGGGAGCTAAGGGTCTCTCTGTAGTAGATTGCAAAACGAGTCACAGATTGTCCCTACACTGCATCCTTGTCCTTGCAGCGGGACATTGCAGATCTTCCCATTCAGAGGTAGAGGCTCTGTCTCCATGCCTTGAATCTAGTGGAGCATAGGAGTTGCTTTGGCCAACAGATATAGGTCTTGACCTCTCATTGCACTTGGAAACCTAAGGCTGCCAGGAGAATGAGCCTGAGCTAGGCTGTTGGGGATATCCCCTCACAGTCTGCCAACCAGCAGACACATGAATGAGGGAGGGCATCTAACACTGACTATCCCCTTGTTGACCCAGAGCTGACCACAGTCATCTACAAGAGCCCAGCTACTGAGTCTGGCTCAGCCCAGAACTGTCCACAGGATAGAGAGAAACCACTAAGTTTTGGAGTAGTTTGTTACTCAGCGAAAGCTTATACTCAGAACAGCTCAGCCCCTGAAGATTACCTGGGCTGATTTCTTCAAAGCCACTTCTGTCTGGTGCAGAGTTGAGAACCACCATCTTTCCCCTGATTTAAGAAGAGTTGGAGGCCCATTCCTAGATGGCCAATCTTTCACCAGCACTTATCATTCAAAGCGTGAGTCGCTCCAGTCAACCCATCGTCTGCATAATCTATGGATCCAGAATATAATGCACCTTCTACCAATCACCAAGTTCTTATAAGTGGATTCAAGGAAGTTTTGTCTCACACGGGAAGAGATCAAAGACACACCAGCTCTTCTCTGAGCCCACAGCATCTGCTTTGGGCCTGCCAAGATGCAAGACTTGTGCATTTGGGGTGTCACTGCATAAGCTAAGTAGAGGAAGGAGAGACCTCCTAACTGGCCCTTGGCATCACAGGTCATATTAAGAATGCCACTGCAGAGGCCAGTCCTAATGTTACAAGAGAGCCAGTGCCAGAGTTTAAAAACACACCAAAGGATTGTTTCCCAGCTGTTTCATCGAAACCAAAGCTATTTTTCCCCAAGCCCCAAGTCACTGGGAGAAGCCAGAGAGCAAATCCAAGAAAGTCCAAGAAACATTCTCAAAATGTTAGTTCTCTATTAACTATCCCTTCTGTGTATCCATAAACCACAGATCCTGGATATTTCAAACCACAATGGTAAAGACTGCAAATGTGCTCTGCAACTTTCATGAAAACCAGAATAATAGTTATCAGAATCTTGGCTCACGCTTGTAATCCCAGCACTCTGGGAGGCCAAGGCAGGTGGATCACCTGAGGTCAGGAGTGTGAGACCAGCCTGACCAACATGGTGAAACCCTGTCTCTACCAAAAATACAAAAATTAGCCAGGTATGGTGCACATCCCTGTAATCTCAGCTACTCAGAAGGCTGAGGCAGGAGAATCACCTGAACCCGGGAGGCGGAGGTTGCAATGAGCCGGGTTCGTGCCCTCGCACATCAGCCTGGGGAACAAGAGTGAAACTCCATCGCAAAAAGAAAAAAAATCTTAATCAGGGGACTGCAGACTACGGCCCATGGGCCAAATACAGCCCACTCCCAGGGTTTATAAATAAAGTTTTATTGGGCCACAGCCCTGCAATTTCATTTGCAGAATGTCTATGGCCGCTTTCAGACTCCAGTGGCCAAGTGCAGTAGCTGCTACAGAAACTGTATGACCCACAAAGCTGAAAATATTTACTATTGGGCCCTTTACAGAAAAAGTTGGCTGACTCCTGATTTAGTGAAATCTACTCATTTCACACATGAAGACAATGACTCTTTGAGAAGTTGTTATGCAAACACTTGGAATAGAGGGGGAACTAGGCCCAATGTTTCTGATTCCTCATTTAGTACTTTTTGGTTTTGCTAAAGAGTTTTAGCATTAAAAGTATTTTCTGAGGTTAGGCGTGGTGGCTTATGGGCCTGTAATCCCATCACTCTGGGAGGCCAAGGCAGGAGGATTGCTTGAGGCTAGGAGTTTGAGACCATCCTGGGCAACATAGCGAGACCCTGCCTCTACCAAAAAATTAAAAAATTAGCCAGGTGTGATGGCACACACCTGTAGTGCCAGCTACTTGGGAGGCTGAAGGGAAAGGATCTCTTGAGCCCAGGAGTTCAAGGCTGCAGAGAGAGCTATGATCACACCACTGCGTGCAAGCCTGGGCAACAGAGTGAGACCCTGTCTCTAAAAAAAAAAAATAAATTAACTAAGTATTTTCTGGAATCTGAAATCTTAAACCATGTGAGTGAACTGTGCCTGCTGGAACTGGAGGTGGTCTATTAACCAGAGTGGTCAAGTAAGCAGAAAACCATTTATCAACCAGGCCAGAAGCAGAGCTTTGGCAATCCCTGGGTGGGAGCCCAGGTGGAACTGACCTGGTGATGATGGCCAGGTGAGGTGGGCTCATGCAGGCGCCCATGAAAAGCACCACGTTCTCGTGCCGTGTCTGCCTGTAGGCCATCACCTCCCGCTTGAAGGCCTTGAGCTGGTCCTCGTTGTCCCTCTCAATGTCAATCAGCCGGATGGCCACCTCACCATGCCAGCGGCCATGGTACACTTGCCCAAAGCGGCCCTTTCCAATGAGCTCGCCGATCTCCAGCTGCTCAAAGGGGATGTCCCACTCCTGAAGGAAGATGCTGGTCTGGCTGGCCTTGCGTGGGAAGCTCCGGGCCGAGAGGAGGGACAGGTTCATCTCCTCGAAGTCATCCTCTGACTCCTCGGCCTCATCGTGGGCCTCTTCATTCTGTGGCCGAAGTGGAAGAGAGGTCAGAATTGTGCTTGCCACTGCCTCAGCCTCCCTCGTGGTCCTGCGGGGTCCCGTGTGCATGCATAGATCTTGACACATCTCTACATGGATTTGGAGCTGGTGCAGACATACATCCCTCTATTTCCCCAGGTAGCTCTGGTCTAGAATCATACTACAGTGAAGGTGCTAAAAGGGAGATCATGATCATCTAACTTTCTTGTGCTAAGTGGGGAAATACTGAGGCACAGAGAGAAGTGTTAGGGGATAATCATCCATTTTAATTTGCTGGGATCTTCCTGGTTTTAGCACCGAAAGTCCCTTATGTTGCCCTGGGAAGGATTCACTCCAGATCATATAGCCAGGCAGAGGAGGAACTAAGATCCAGGTCTCTGGACTTGAATATCTCATGCCCTTCCTATTCTTCCAAGGTCTTTTGGTTTGTTTGTTTATGTGCATGTGATAAAGTCGACAGGCTAGACCCGCTAAAACATTGGGTACGTCGTGCATCTGCATGTAACATGTAACAACCGTCAACATGGAGTATCTTTTGCTTCCCCCAGGGAATTTGGAATTAATGATTCAAAAATTGGGAGAGGTCAGAGCTACACGCTAGGTGTCTGAGGCTCCTACAGCAGCTGGGAGCAGGTAGGAGACATGAGAGTGAGAGGTCAACAGAATGGGCTTAACAATCAGACCAAGTGAGCTGAAATCCGGCCTCTGTGTGACCTTGAGCAAGTTGCTTGACTTCTCTGAGGCTGCCTTTCCTGATTGTAAAGTGGGGGTAATAAAATCTGCCCCAGGGGCGGTGTGAGGTTTTAAATGAGGTGAAGACCTCTACTAAACACCCACTGGGAGGCCCAAGAAACTGCAGATTCCTGAGCCCCGTCCAGTTCTATTGGATCAAAATATCAGCAAGCCAGGACCAGGAATCTGCATTTTTACCATGCGCACCCACATGACTCAGGCATACTTAGGCGTGGCTACCACTAGAGTTCAGTGCTCAAGGTGCAGGCACCCTACCATATCAGCATGATATCTGGGGGTGCTTGGGGGTGAATTGCCTCTTGGATTCTCCTGCAGAATTGTGGGAGCAGCAGACACCTGGGCCAGTGGGGATTCCCAGAGACCCTAGGACCTGATGAAACAGCCTGAGAAGGCGGCCTCTTGACTGGGTACATGTCTTCCTGACCCAAAATACCTGAGCAAGCTGCCCTCAATGGCACGCTCAGGAGAAACAATATAGGAGACATTGGTTTCTCTTAGGATCATTTTCCAATAACCAAATAGTCCCAGAAAAGAACACGATTTTCCTTGGAAGCCCTGACTCTATTCCTTTCAGTGCAAGACACAGTGCAGTGGCAGAGCTGAGTGATCAGAACTCCATGGTTTCCAGCCAGGGCATTTCATGTAGTCCTGCAGCCACTTAGGCAGGTGGGAAGAAGCCCCAGAGCATTCTCAGCACTTCCAAGCCCGGCATCCCTGAGGCCCCCATCTCCTCTCACTATTGTTTTGAAGGCAGCAGGGCACGTCCCCCTTGGTATTCACCCGGCCCTGAGCTGATCTTTCAACTAAGAATGCAAATCTTTTGCCAATTTCCGCACAACTGGCTTTTCTATGATGCCTGCCATATAACGGCCCATTAGGCTCAGTACCGGGAGGGGCCACCACTTGCTAATTGTCCTGGAGTTAGAACATCCATCAGTCAGGGCCTCCGCAGCCCCCACCTGACCCCAAGCCCTCTGCGTCATCGAAAACGTCAGTCAGCTTTGCCAAGTCTGGGCAGCCCCTGGAAAACGTTGCTTCACTGCTTTCTGATTCTCACCTCTGACGTTGGCTCCACTTCAATTTGAAGTAATGGATTTCCTTCCAAGCTGTAAAGAAAGAAAAATAAATGTGATCCCTAGGTGAAAAGGTAGCTCTGTATATTGTGTTTAGCTTTGTATGAAGAATCCCCAGATGGGAAGTTGTCACCACCAAGCCTTTCTCTCACATTTCATTTTAACACTTGTGTCTGAAATAATCCGTAAGCTCACCACAGAAACATACACACACAAAAAAAAAACAGTACACAAGGACATTGCTTTAAGTTGATTTTCCGGGCTGCTCAGGGGTCATTTTTCTTTATTGCTTTGGTTTCAACTAACATAGCAGCTTTCTTATAAATCGGCCTAACTGCCCTAAGCAGACAAGTCCTCAGAGCTCTATGTGTTTGCCAGGAAAGAACTAATCAGATCTCCGAAGTTCACTCACATTTGGAATTTCTTGGAAGGATCTTAGAGTTCTTGTTTGTCTGGTCATTCATGTGACTATTTAATAGATGTGAATTAAGGAACAGTGTTAAGCCCTCGGAAGGATATAGAATTGAAACTGGCATGGCTTCTGACCTTAAGAAATATTGTATTCCTACTGAAGGAAAGAAAGCCACTATTCAGATACTATGCAGACAGGCTAAAAGTAACAAGGCCAAAAGTTAGGTATGAGTTGGATAAATGGAGTGTGGCGGGAATTTTAAGACGAGAATTATTGGATGTATTTGAAAGTTTCCAGTGTTTGAGGTAGATCCTGTCAGTCACATGGAATTAGGATATGTGGAATGAAAATAAAAAGACTGTATTGAACTGGAAGACCGTGTGTGTGTGTGCGCGCGTGTGTGTTATGTGTGTTGGCGTTCACAAGCTCATGAGCTGCAGTTCTGTTCTTAGTAAGCAAACACGTTGGGTACAGATGCTGGCGGGGGTCACAATGTGTTTGTGTGAGTGCCACATAGGTATTATGGGATGTGCTTTGTGCAGGGTTGTCTTGTGTGCATGTGAGTTGGGGGTACACACAGGATGTCGAGGGGAATGCTGTATGCCGATGGTATAATGGGGTATGCATTCGAGGTGCGAGAGAAATGTCAAATGCATATGACATTTGACATGTGATGGGTGAGGGGCACAGTGTGCATTAGAGGTATGTTGTGGGGGTTAGACTTAAGGATGTGTATGTGTTTTTGAAGTTCAGCAGAGAGACAGAACTGGGCTGCTGAAGGCATGGAGTAGCTGAAGCAGGTGAGAAAAAAGAAGCACAATGAATACTCCATCCCTTTCCTATTTCCCCAGTGAAAACCTAGTAGATTCCCTCTCTCCCCTCCTCTGACCCTCAGATGGCAGGAAGCGGGTGACTCTGCAGACAGAGTCAGTCCACGTGGCTGGAGGGGGTCCTGGTGAGAGAGAGTCTGAAAGATCACAAGAACTAAAAGAAGGAGAAAGAAAGGTCAATCCCAAAGTGGCATTTGCCATGGTATTAACCAATTATTTATAGCACAGCCTGGGAAGGTGGAATGAACCTGCACAATGACAGCTGAGATGCTGTGAACTTGATGCCCTGGGGGAGACTTGGGTGCGACAATGCAACTGGAGTCCCTCCTCATGCCCAAAACCAAAACAGGCCACCCTCCTCTCTTTGCATCAAGACATGATTCCAGCATCCAGGGCTATTCAATTATTTCTCTCTGCAAAGAGTTTCCATCACTCCACGCACATATAAGCAGATTGCAAGCAGCTATTCACTCTGTTTTTCACTGGCACCTCTGGACTGTCAGCTAATAACCTGGAGTTCTTCTTGCACAAATTGTGGAGCTGGTTTATGTGAAGTAGAGAAATGATCCAGAGCTAGATGTCAGCACAATATCCCCCAGCAAGTGGCTGTTCCTTTGATTTCAGAGATGTACCATTTAAGTCTTTAACAAAGTCCATATGACCAGTCAGAAAAGATGAAGAAGTTAGGGGACCCAGAAGAAAAACCAAGTAGGCACAAAGGTGAGCTGGGAAACTGGTCAAATCCTAGCAAGCCCCAGACTTCCATCACAACCAAAGAAGTTAATGAGGTGACTCCGTGACTTCACTTTTTTTTTCTTCAGACAGAGTTTCCCTTTGTCACCCAGGCCAGAGTATAGTGACATGATCCCAGCTCACTGCAACCTCTGCCTCATAGGTTCAAGCAATTCTCCTGCCTCAGCCTCCAGAGTAGCTGGGATTATGGTGTGTACCACCATGCCTGGCTAATGTTTGTATTTTTAGTAGAGATGAAGTTTTACCAGTTTGGCTAGGCTGGTCTCAAACTTCGGACCTCTGTGACTGTGATTCTCCCATCTCAGCCTCCCAAAGTACTGGGATTACAGGTGTGAGCCACTGCACCACCTGGCCAAGGTGACTTCACTTCTGCTGCACGAGCAACAAACCACCTGGAAAGAGGGCCTGTATCCTAACGATGCCATGCACAAAGATGTTCATTGTAGCATTATTTACAACAGTGAAATATTGGAAGCAGTGTAAAAAATCCAGCAATAGGAAATGATTAAGAAAATTATTCTATATCAATATGTCATTTTACAGCCATTAAAAACAATGTCAAACAGGTGCAGTGGCTCATGCCTGTAATTCCAGCACTTTGGAAGGCTAAAGAGGAAGGATCACTTGAGTCTAGGAGTTCAAGACCAGCCTAGGTAAAATGGCAAAACTCTGTCTCTGAGCTGAAAGGATCACTTGAGCCCAGGAGGCAGAGGCTGCAGTGAGCCGTGATCATGCCACTGCATTCCAGCCTGGGTGACAGAATGAGACTCTGTCTCGAAAAACAAACAAACAAGAAACAAAAACCAACAATGTCTATGGAGAGGCTAAAATAATAAGTTTAAAATGTGATGTTCAGCATAAAGATAACAAAACAGGATGGTAACTGCTTACATATATTGTGGGTCATAACTATGTAAAATATAAATGGAAAAACACACATAAAAGTTCTAACAGTGGTGAGACCATGAGTGATTATTTTGCCTTCTCCTTTTTAAAGAATAGTCCAAATTTTTCAAAATTAGTTTATATTATGTTTATAATAATATGAACCAGAGGTTAGCAAATTTCTTTCTGCAAAGGACCACAGAGTAAGTATTTTTGGCTTTGTAAGCCATACAGTTTCTATTATAACTACTTGACTCTGCTGCTGTACTGAGAAAGCAACCATGCACAACACATTGTAAACGAATAGGCATGACTATGTTCCAATAAAACTTTATGCAAAAACAAGCAGAAGGTTGGATCCATCCCATAGGCTATAGTTTGCTGATTCCTGGTATAAACCTAAATAAGACTTTTGAAAGTTATTCCATGTTCAGTGACATGGAATAATTACCCCTTCATTAAGCTCTAGCTATCGCCTGGGGAAAGTGGTCTTTCTAATCATAGGGTGGTTATGGGTCCTTAGGAAATGGCCCAGCCCCTGGAAATTGCATTTGACAGGCAGGGTCAGAGACACAAGGCATAGCTGGCTTGTGAAGAACAGCATTGCCTCTCTCTCCATCTCTCTGCCTGGGCTGTCAGGTTCTTTCTCTTTCCCGAAGTTATTCCCTATGTCTCTCTGCCTGCCTTGTACTTCTCCCTCTGTCCCCAGCTACATCAAATCCGGGAATAGGAGGAAAGAAGACAGGGAACCTGAGTGGATTGTAGAGCCAGGGCTGGGAAGCTCAAAGAAGGGGAAAGAGGTCTCTGTCCCACTTACATTGGATTCGAGGTCACCGGATGCAGGATGACCTGGGGCGCCCGGGTCGGTGTCTCTGGCACTGGCACCACATCTGAAAACCAGAGATTGGATATTCAGAAAACAAATGCGAAGTCCACAACCCCTGCAAAGGCCTAATTCCTGGGAGATGTGGCAGCTAATATTTCACCAGATCTTGGATCTCTGTCCTTGGCCAATCTCCTTTCTCCTTTTCTGGACCACCTGGACTTTACCTGCTCAGCTGGACCAGTTTTCTGGATGACATCCTCAACAAAATTATCCATTGTTGAGGAGGGGACTGCCAGAAACCGCAGGCATCTAGCCTGAAGCGTTCATTAGTCATCTCTGAGCTTCCTTTCTCCTGAGTTCCCTTTGGGATGATAAGGCCCCCTGGTTTCACATCTTCTCTGTACTCAGCTCAGGACCCTCGGACCATCTCTTCCCTGCTACATGGCTCTAGACCCCTCCTCACCCTTGCCCATTTTTCCACAGCACTACACCCTCTCAGGCCTTTCTACTGTGCCTTGGGACCTTCTCGGGTCCCACAGTGCCCTTAGATCTTCCCACTCTTTCTTTTCCACTTCCATGTGCAGCCATTATCCTGGAGTATGGTGACTCCACTACCACCTTCTTTGATTTCAGGTACCCCCACAACATCTGCCTCCATTCATCCCACCAACTCCTATAACCCAGCAGGGCTTGTTCAGAAGGGGCTGTTTCCAGCTCACATGAAACTCACCTGGGAAGATGAACTGCTGCTTGTATTTGTAGTAGTGGGATGCTTGCAAAAGAAAGAAAACATCAAAGTGAGTGCCCCCAAGAAGACATCCCTTCAGGGAACAAATTGAGCTTTTACAGCCACTATGTGGTCCTTCTCTGCCCACCTTCAAGAGTTTCCATTCTTCTGCAGACATCCTTGCAGACGAGGGATTGCACACATGTGTAAAGAAACCAGAACTCTAAACATCCATGCCACCCTCCCAACCGACATCTCACACTCTCTAAAATCAGACTGCCCCAACTCAAACAGACATTCTGACTACAATACCACTTTTGTGAAATGCATAATTATACACACACACACACACACACACACACACACACACACACAGAAAAAGTCTGCAAAGCCATAATCTAAAATATTAATTTTTTCCCCCTTTTGGCAGAATGATTACAGTGGCTTAAAAAATCCTTTATGCTTTTTCTGTACTTTCCAAATTTTCTGTACCAAGCATGGTATTAGTTTTCTTTTTTGTGGCTGTAACAAATTACTACAAACTGAGTGGCTTAAAACAACACAAATGAATCCTCCTCCAGTTCTGGAGGACAAAATCCGAAACAAGTCTTACGGGGCTAAAATCAAATTTAGTTCTTCCTAGGGGCTGTAAGAAAATCTGTTCCTTGTCTTTTCCAGTTGTCTGAGGCTGCCTGCATTTGTTGGCTCATGGCCCCATCACTCCAACCTCTGCTTCTGCTGTGCCATCTCCATCTTCTGCCTTTGACCTTCTTGCTTCCCTCTGATAAGGACCTTTGTGATTACATTAGGGACTTCCCAGATAATCTAAGATAATCCCTCCAGCTTAAGTCCATAACTTCGTCATATATGCAAAGTTCCTACTGTCCTATAAAGCAGCATCTTCCCAGATTCTGAGATCAACACATGGACATCTTTTTGGAATGAGCATTATTCTACCTACCACAAGCATGAATTAACTTCTGAATTTAGGAAAAATTATATAAAAGGAGTTTTCTGGACTTCACTGCTGGTTCCCTGAAAATTCCTTTTACTTCTAATCTACTCACCAGAGGTCAGGGGTCTCAGACACTTAAAAGTCTCTAACATTAGCACTTACTCAATTGGTGAACAGTGCCTAGAATAAGGGGCTAAGGGGTGTTGGGGGAAGAGAACACAGAGCTTTGTGTCCTCAAGTAAATGAAGAGGGCAGGGATATAGTCAGATAAGTCTGTATTGGTGAATCCACTTCCAGAAACAATTTGATGACATTCGGGGGCAAGCCACCACTGGAGTTGGTTTATCAAATATTAGCACAATAGCTCAGAACCTAGAGTCTAGAAGCTGATCCTATAAGGTCAAATCTTTGCTCTGCTTTTGGTTATTTGTGGAGACTCTGAGTCTCACTGTCCACATATGTAAAATGAGTATAACAACCCCTTCCTCAAAGGGCAAGGACCATCATTACGGGATAGAAGTGTATTGAAGGTACCATTATGTGGGAAGTAAAAAAGCTCCTCTTTAAAGTTTCCTTTCTTGTTAAAGAATAAATCATAAGTGTGCTAATAACTCTTTATTAAGCCCTATCCTATGTAGCTGTTAGACATGCCATGCTTACCGGCATGTAGTACATTCTACGTCCTTGTACTTTAACCAAGATATCTGTGCTGGACGTGCTCACAGGCATGACCCAGCTCTCTATTGCTTTCAGAATTTAGAAAAGTTTTAAGTTATTAGCCAATTGGGATTTAGTTTAGATTGTGAGGTCTGGCTCCAGCCAATGGAGATCAGACACAGCAGTAAGGACAACCCCAAATACGTAAGGAATAAATATGTCTGTTTTCCTTTGTTCATTGTACTCCCATGGCAAAATGGCTAGCAAGGGTACCCTTCCTGCAGGCCGGGATTAAAAAATTGCATTGCTGAAAAATCCTTTGTCTCAGTGCTAATTTTCTTTGTGGCATCGAGCATCTATTACCTAGAGTCTAGAAGCTGACCCTATAGGGTCAAATCTTTGCTCTGCCTCTGGTTATTTGCAGAGACTCAGTCTCACTGTCCACATGTGTATAATGAGAATAATAACAGTCCCTTCCTCAAAGGGCAAGGACCATCATTAAGAGATAAAAGTGCATTGAAGGTAGTATTAGCTGTGAGATAAACAAATTTCTAAGCTCTCTTAGCTCATAGACAAGAATGACTTATAATTAAGAGATAATCAGATAGTTCCAAGTGCTAACTAAATCTTTTGCTTTGGGGAAGCTGACAGAACACCCTCTCTGAGGTTAAAATTTATTGATAGATTCCTTCAGGATAGGGAGTAAGTCCTACTATCTCAGGATCCCAAACTCCTGGTTCTGTGCCTTGCACCAGTCAGTGTGCAACACACATTTGTTGAATTAATCAACTTTTTTTTTATTATAGGTGAAACAGTAGAAACATTGGGCTTAGTCCAATTCCAGCTTATATTAAATACTTGGAGTCCAGATGGATACATTTTTGATTCTGGAAAATGGGACATCCAGGGCAAGAAGCAACATATTCAAGGTCACAGAGTAAAGCTCTAAAAGAAAACCACCCTTCATGACCTCAGGGACCATTTTACTGTTAGATAACACAAGTTTTTATGGCATGATACTATTTTATTAGTCAATAAGGGGCTAAAATTAAAACAGGAAAAACTACACGAGGTTCTCAAGAGGCTTGGCTGATCTTTTCCCTCCCCAGCTCTGACAGTGATGGGGGATTCAGTGTCTGCAGAAAAGGTTAGCTGACAGTTATGTTCTTTTTGGAAGGGAGGGGTTGGGCAACGGAGAGCAAGGGCTGCTTCAGAGAGTCTGAGAAGGGACAGGTGCCTGGCAACGGGACACCAGCAAATGCCTCCACACCCGGAGCCAACGCCCTCCTTGACTCCTCCCCATGTGCCATGGAACAGCTTGTTCCTGGTGACCGAAAGGGAAACGCACGGCCAGAAAAGGAGGAAAGGCATTGCTGGGAGACCTGTTCTTCCCACTGATGACAGACACTAGCAAGAAGTGGCTTTAAAGAACAGCTGGTGACCCTGAGTGGGCTGCTCAGGAGAGCCAAGTGGTTCCTGGCTTGCTGGCATCCAAGAAGACCCAGGACCTGGGAGGCTGCAGATGAAGTCAAAGAGACAAGCAGACCACTTTGAAGGAGCTTCCCCTCTGGAGGTAAGCCCCATGCCTACCCCGAGCCCTCCCAAGAGAGCAGGTAGGGGGTCTTCTAGAAGGAAGATAAAAGGGTCAAGTCGTTGTCTGCCTAAACCTTTCAACTCAATCATATGGAGTCTTACATAAAATCTACATTTCTACCAGGCCCAGACCCTGCAGCTCTGAGTCTCTCTGGAGGCCACTTTCTCTTGTTTATGGCACTTGGGCCCCTTCTTGTGACTGGGTCTTTGCCTTACCTCCCCGACCTGCAGAACTCAGCCAGCTAGTGACCCTCCAACCTAAATTTGTTCTCTTGCTATTTGCTCAAGGACTACTGCAAAGGCTCTTATCCTTCACAGCCTTCATCACAATCTATTATCCTATTTTCATGCATATGTTTATTTGGTTAACACCTTTCTTTCTCACTAAGCTACACTTTTCTTTTTTTTCCCCCCATTTATTTATTTTATTGCATTTTGGGTTTTGGGGTACATGTGAAGAACATGCAAAATTGTTGCATAGGTACACACGTGGCAGTATGATTTGCTGCCTTCCTCCCCATCACCTACATCTGTCATTTCTCCCCTTGCTATCTCTCCCCAGCTCCCCACCCCCCACCGTCCCTCCCCTATTTCCCCCCAACTGACCCCAGTGTGTAGTGTTCCCCTCCCTGTGTCCATGTGTTCTCATCGTTCAACACCCGCCTATGAGTGAGAACATGCGGTGTTTGATCTTCTGCTCTTCTGTCAGTTTGCTGAGAATGATGGTTTCCAGGTTCATCCATGTCCCTACAAAGGACCCAAACTCATCGTTTTTGATGGCTGCATAATATTCCATGGTGCATATGTGCCACATTTTCCCTATCCAGTCTATCGTCGATGGGCATTTGGGTTGGTTCCAGGTCTTTGCTATTGTAAACAGTGCTGCAATGAACATTCGTGTGCACGTGTCCTTATAGTAGAACGTTTTGTAATCCTTTGGATATATACCCAGTAATGGGATTGCTGGGTCAAATGGAATTTCTATTTCTAGGTCCTTGAGGAATCACCACACTGTCTTCCACAATGGTTGAACTAATTTACACTCCCACCAACAGTACAAAAGTGTTCCTATTTCTCCACATCCTCTCCAGCATCTGTTGTCTCCAGATTTTTAAATGATCGCCATTCTAACTGGCGTCAGATGGTATCTCAGTGTTGTTTTGATTTGCATTTCTCTGATGACCAGTGATGATGACCATTTTTTCATATGTTTGTTGGCCTGATGTATGTCTTCTTTTGTAAAGTGTCTGTTCATATCCTTTGCCCACTTTTGAATGGGCTTGTTAGTTTTTTTCTTGTAAATCTGTTTTAGTTCTTTGTAAATTCTGGATATCAGCCCTTTGTCAGATGGGTAAACTACAAAAAAAATTTTTGGTTCTGTTGGTTGCCGATTCACTCTAATCACTGTTTCTTTTGCTGTGCAGAAGCTGTGGAGTTTGATTAGGTCCCATTTGTCTATTTTGGCTTTTGTTGCCAATGCTTTTGGTGTTTTGGTCATGAAGTCCTTGCCTATGTCCTGAATGGTTTTGCCTAGATTTTCTTCTAGGGTTTTTACGGTGTTAGGTCTTATGTTTAAGTCTTTAATCCATCTGGAGTTAATTTTAGTGTAAGGTGTCAGGAAGGGGTCCAGTTTCTGCTTTCTGCACATGGCTAGCCAGCTTTCCCAACACCATTTATTGTGCAAAAATCACATGCATTCCTATACACCAATAACAGACTTAAGGAGAGCCAAATCAAGAACAAACTGCTATTCACAATTGCCACAAAGAGAATAAAATACCTAGGAATACAACTAACAAGGAACGTAAAGGACCTCTTCAAGGAGAACTACAAGCTACTG